TTGGTGGAGCTATCGTGGCACCTCGCGGTAGTTCTTGGGGGGGAGGGGTAGCAACAATTCTTATCTTGGCACTGGTTAGACTACTAGACCACTAGACCTACCGACAAACAGGCCAACTTACTACACCTACCAGACCTTCTACACCTACTAGACCTCCTACTACTACTTCTCCTTCTCCTCCTGCTGCTGCTGCTGCTCTACTGCTCCTGCTTTTACTGCTACGACTACTAAGTAACTACTAACTACTGCTACTCCCACTACTGCTACTAGTACTCCTACAGCCGCTTCTACAACAACAACTACTTCTTCTACTACTACTTCTTCTACTACTAGTGCTACTAACTCGGGGGACCCGGACTGCCACGCGGGCTGCGGGAGGGTCGGCCCTCAAGTAACACGCGAGCTGTGAACAGTTGAGGCAACCGCCGCGTGCGGAACTTTAGCTCGTGCGGAAGCAACCAGATGTCACGGCCTCAATCCAAGCGCGGCGCAAAGGCGAGGCTGAGACCCTTCGGGTTCGGGTCGAAAAGAGCACGACCCTTTTTGGTAGAGCAAGCCGAGAAGCTGGGTTTACAGAGCCAGGGACATGGAAGAGACCGACGACACCATGCAAGTCTCAGGACCCAGCTTGGCTTGGACACGACACGGATGTTTCGTATCACGGGAGCCCCCTGTCACATCACTTGTCACTCCCAGTGAATCCATCGCAGTCCAGACCACAACTGTGACCATTCTTGGTCCAAGCTCGAGCACAGCCTGGTAATGCTTCAGCAAGATCGTTATCCTGTTGCCCTCCACGGTGTAGCCACGAATAAGGCCCTCCTGGTCAGAACGTATTTGCATAAAAGTTGTGCCTTCGGGAAAGGCTCCAGCATTGGAAAATTCAACATGTAGCCCCCATGCCAACCGTGCAGGCGCGTGTTTTTGGCACGATCCCAGAGAAGCTTGCACCGTCATGGCACCGCGCATCTTTCCTCGGCATGCCGGCTTGACTAGTGTCTAAAGATGTCTAAAGTGCCTAATCGAGGCTCAGCCGTGCTTCTGGTGTGAAGGAATGTGGAGACAACGAGCACTCTGGCGACGTTCCATTGTGGCCAAGCCTCATCGACGAGTGCATTCCGCCGCGAGCGTCTCATAGCCACCACACCTGGGAAATCGAGCTTCGTCTTCGTCACTTCGTCGTCATCTCCTTTTTGGGGACTCGGACCTCCGGACCTCCGGCTTCGCTGCCGAGGCACTTGGCCGTGTGATCGCAAACCTGGTCGAACTGCGCCGGGTCGTGCTCCAGGTTGCTGTGGACGATCTCGCAGCCATCGGCCTGGGACCCCCATGCTGTCATGTGGTTCATGAGAGATTTTCTGAAGGAGGCTGATGAGGCTCTGACCTCGTTGCAGTAGAGGTTGAACAAATTGCAAAAGTTTGTAGAGAAGTCGCACAAGCTCTTGACCTCGCGATGCTCAAAGACAAGCTGCCCAGCGCCGATGGAGAGACCCTTCCTGCCTGACTCTCCGAGCACGCCAAGACGTGGCAGCCCGACCCGTCCGTCACATACCGAAATCCGAAGAGGTCCGTGAAGGGGCCTGCTTTTGGCTTGTACAGACAATCGACACCAAGACGAAACTGCACCATTGCACCAGTTGCAGCATCGTAAGTTGACAACTTGTTCGCTGTCGAGTTTGTCACGTATCTTGAATCCCCAGGAAGAGTCTACTTCTCACGTTGGAGCTGACGAACTCGCAAGGCCACTACATGGCTGAGTTGGAAGGTTCCTTGGTCATTATGCACATGAGGGCCTTGCCTGGGTCTGCAAACGGGCTCGTCGCTCGACTGGCCTGCAAGCAGTCCAAGGACAAGCTGCATGCTGCTAGGAGTGGGAGATGAGAACATAGAAGCACGGGACTGGGATGGCATGGCATTAGGACTGAGCTAAACCCATATTGTGCCTTCGTGCAGACGCCAGTCTCAGAGGCCAAAAGAGTGTAGTTACCTCGTCAATGGGTTTCTGACTGAGAACCTTCGAAATACAAAACTGGCTGTCGTGAAGATCCGAGCTGCCGGGCAGCTTCTTGCGATCCATGTTCAGGCCAATTCGTGCCTCTATCTCCTGCCAAGACAGTACAGCACAACGGGTTGCACCCTGGGCCCTGCCTTCACGAGCTTCAGGGCACCCTACTCTTGTAAGGCTATTTTGCTGAAAGATTTAACCGGGCTGTCAGAACACACGTATGTGTCATGTCAGCGCACCAGATGTAGCATGAACTATGTACAGCGAAACAGACCCAATAATTTTGGTCCTAACTTGGCTCTGTTCTCTGTCATCCTCAGTCCGGAACTGTGCAAAGAAAGAGTGCAGAAATCCTGGAGACTCGCTCCCGCGGTTCCTCCTGAACACTGGAGCAGGAGGCTTTGAAGACTAGGCTCTCGGAGCAAGCGGCATGATCCCCCGAAGGCACCTCAGGGCATTTCAGCAGCTCAAGCAGCGAAGTTTCAACAGGTTGTAGTCTTGTAGGACTTTCTTTGCAGAGCGCCGGTGAGCCCGGGCAGGCAGCATCCGTGAGGCCACAATCTTCCGGGCTGAAGCTCCGCTTGAGCCCAATCGCCATGGCATGGCCTCACAGAGAGCCCGGCTATGTGCCCGGCTGGCCCATTTGATCAAACACTCGCAGCTTGGCCTGGAAGGCTCCAAGCCAGCAGAGGCAGCGTCCACCTGTCGGCTGGTTCCATCTTCCAGGCGATGTAGGACTAAATTCCAGATGCGTTCAAGGCATGTAGGAGTCTTCAGATAGTGTAACCACCACATATGCACGTGTACATGCAAGTAGTTTGCACATGTGTCTACATATATATATATATATATATATATATATTTCTGTATGTATATATATATATATATATGTATGTATGCTCGCCCCCCGCCATGATCCACCATCGGTGGGTCTGGGGAGTGGGGGGAACACGCACAGCGTAGCTGAAACCGTTGCAAACCGGATTTCTCCTGCTGCGTTGTTGTACTGTACGATGTGTGATGTCGTGTCTTCTATTGTGTGTTCATGTATACTAAGGTCCTTAAACGTCATGCCTTTGGACGGACAGTTCATATTATCTTGCATCGGAGCTTGAGGTTTAGAGGGTTCATGCGATGTAAACGGACCTGAATAAGTTCAATAAGTCTGTATTAGCATAGTTATCGAAAGACGATTAGGAGATGTTGTTGCTCATGCTTCAAGCTTGTACATCGAGTGGCTGTTTGATTAATGTACACTCCGATTCCTCATATTTCCTCATTATATGTTCACTATATATAACTACTGTAAAGAGTACCCCGAAAACCTGCGTTTTGGGCTTTTTCATGATTCCAGACCTTTGAGGACATACGATATACTCTGATGTGAGTAGTGTAAATCCAACACCGCGAATCAAATAAATTACAGGTTATGGGATAAGACTGTTGCAACATCAGGCGGTATGGTGAATTTGGTTTGAACCTTTTATGAATGGTAAACTATTCTGTGATGCTCAGCTTCTTCTTGAAATTTCCACCGCAAGTCCGTGTTATATATGTATCATTTGTTTACTACTTACATGATACATGATGAGGGGAATGTAGTATGTATTCGATAGTTTGTTTAATACTTCAACGACACCTGGTTAGCATGTGCCACAGCTTTTATTTGAATATTCGTTTGGTGTTTAGCTGGAGCATTCAATATACGGTTACATATGAAGTTGCTACGTATAGAGAGCATTATTTGGTGAGCATTTTATCAGAGATGCATGAAACTTAACCCAATGTTGGACTCGTATTGACCTACGGAACAATATCTAGTATATACTGCTAGTACTTTAAATGTCGAAAGATATTGCCTGAAAGACTCGTTTGGTAGTCGTAGTTATTCATTCTTCAATATCGAATTACCACTATGAGACATGCTTCGTAATGATTAATCTGGCTTAGCCTTTGATATCCATGATTTATTCGACCAACATCTCATGAATTTACATTTGGTGTCGTAAACATTTAGAAGACAAATGAAGACAACTGACCACAAGTAAAATGCAAGATCAATAGTTGTTAAGCGCCGCGCATGTTAGTCATTCTTCAATGATTTTCGAATTACCGTTATAAGAGATGCTAAGTAATCATTAGTGTTGCTTCGAAATTGACATTCATGAAACACAGTAATATCGCCTTGCATGAGTATATACCTAAAGCGTTGTTGGTAATACGGAAATATTTAGAAAGATAGCTGACGACAAGTGAGGGACAATATCAGCAATTGTTAGATAGTGATCTTCTTGAAATTTGTTCAGTGTTCAATATCGAACTACCGTTACAAGAGATACTGTCGCTTGGCATGTGATATGAAGCTTTCGACCAATATCTCATGGTTTCACACATACCTAGCACGTTATTGATATTCAAACAATGTTACGAAGATAGCTCATAGGTAAACGACATTATTAACAACTGATAGATACGGTGCATGTAGCTAATATTTATTGGTGCTTGAATGATACCTCGCCAATCTGCGATTACTGCGTAGTCAAGTTAGTAAATATTTAAGTGATACTAAACCGAATAGTATTCTTTTCCTGTCTTTCAAGTGTTTCATTTATATGCACTGTGCTCGCTGGCAGTATGTTTGAATCATGTAGTTGACATGTTATGACGTAGTGTTATTTAACAAATACTGTAATCGCAATGTATTGTTATTTCCTTAGTAACAGGCACGCTGTTAATAGGTAGCAAATTTAGTCGGGAATTAATTGGCTATTACAAATCCCCGACGCATTTGGTACATTGTCAATTGAACAAAAATTTAAAGGCTAGTTAAGTTCATTTAATTTTTCAACCAATGTTTTTCAATACATAGCTGGTCTCAAAGATACAAAAGCTGCTGAATAACAAATAAGTCTATTGCGAATAGTTTTTGCATGCTAGACAGTGGCTTGTCAGCGGATGGAAGGTGGGTATTTAACGTATTTCAGAAACATACCCTGCACTGTCGTTCCAATTTCCTATCATTCCTAATTTAACAACCAAGCCCTGCATATTGTTCACCATGTATAACGTTGGATGAATCCTTTCTCTGTATGCTCTCTCGAGCTTTGCAAGGAGATGCTCCTCAAACTGTATGTGCTGTACAATACTCGGAGTCGAGCTAGCTGGTTATGAAAGATACAAAAGCTGAGTGAGTGAGTGAGTGAGTGAG